ACAACCAAGCCGCACCAACCCAAAAGCCGATCGCCCCTCAAATAACACCACAATATTCTTCTACACCTAGCATTCTTCCCACTTCTGCAGAACACCCTGCATACAAGTCAAAAACTTTAGAAGAGCTGCGCCAGGCCATTCTAAACTTTGAAGGATGTGCCTTAAAGAAAACCGCCACAAATACAGTTTTTTCTGATGGTGTTCCAGACGCAACAATTATGCTGATTGGGGAAGCTCCTGGTGCTGATGAGGATCGCTTAGGGAAACCTTTCGTCGGAATGAGCGGTCAGCTGCTTGATAAGATGTTTAAAACGATTGAATATTCTAGAGAGAAAAACATCTATATCACCAATATGCTTCCTTGGCGTCCTCCCGGAAATCGCCCTCCCACAACTGAAGAGATTGCTTTGTGTCTTCCTTTTGTGGAAAAACATATCGCTCTTATTCAGCCTCAATGCCTTATCTTTGTTGGGGGCACCTCTGCAAAAGCCCTTCTGAACACAAAATCAGGCATCATCCGTCTCAGAGGGATCTGGACCCAGTATAAAAACCAGTTTATGGACACACCCGTTAAAGCACTTCCCATATACCACCCTGCTTATCTTTTGCGTTCTCCCAGCAACAAGCGCAAAGCCTGGCATGACTTGATGCTGATCCAACGAACCCTAGAGATGGTTTGATCAAACAAGTTTAGTTTTCACCTTTCATGGGATTCGTTTTTAGACCTTCTCTTCCATAAAAAGGGGGCAAAGTTGCGCCCTTTTTTAAAACCCAAAAGTCTTGAAAAACTCTCTAGAGAAACTTTCCTGTTTCAATAAAGTTAGAGACTTTTTCTAGATTAAGTACAGCAATTTTACTTTTTCCTTGATAATTTCTTATCATGCCCTTGAAGTTCTTCGGAGTCAATCTCTTACAATATTGCTTATGAGACTCAAGATCTTCTTTTTTGATACGCTTCGGATTAATGAAATCATTATAGAGCTCCATCTCTACTTCCTCATAGGTCCTTGGCCCTTCTGCAAAAAAGTCAGGATCAAACCCTAAGAAGGTTCCATCTGTGAAACGAGCAACGTTGTGAGAAATTGCAAATCCATCTGGTTTTAGCTCCCCATATTGCTTAACATTTAAAAATGAGAAAAATGCAGTCCCTGTAGAAACATCATCATCGTACGCCTTTTCATCAAAGAAAGACCATCCTAGGCGGTGCATAAAACTATATGCACTATTAGAGGTTAAGTTGATACGCAGGGCCCATTGCTCAGCTTTTTTGCCCCCTAGCAAATCACAAAGTAACTTTAACCGTACAATTCTAGCCGCATTCGAACAATCCATTTCCAACCCTTCTGTATTTAAAAGGGTATTAACAGACTTTAAGAGATTTATCCCCATTGCTCCATCCCAAAATAGCATGCTCATCGTGCCACTAGTTGTTTTTGACAAAAACTCTTTCCAAGCCGTATTTTTAGGAGGAGAAAGACGCGTTTTATTATTTTTCGGGTATCGCCAATTTTGATTAATCAATGCATAGCTAGAGCGTATCGACTCCTCAGCACGTTGAGACAATTTTCTTCAAGGTTTTGACCTGTCACATATGCCCTTAACGGAAAAATAAAAATCACTGATAGGATAGTTAAGTAAATTTTTTTCATCTCTCCCACTTCAGAGTTTCTTAAAAAACTTACATATTTATCAATATATTTACCAAAAAAATACCAAAACGTCAATAAAGAAAAATGGGCTAAAATTTAAGCCCTCTCCTCTTACGAAAAAACATAAACTTTTCGCTCTGCGTTAGAAGGTTTTTCGGTTACACTGCCTTTCATGCATGAAGATTTTTTAACAGAAATTGCCCTTGTTGCCGTTGCCGCCCTCTCTTGCGGTTTGTTGTTTGAACGCCTCAAACAACCCGCTGT